ATGTCTTCTTGAAGGAATTTTCACCCATTTTTTTCTTCTGAGACAAATAAGAGGCCCAGGTGCACAAAAGCCTTCAGACTCCTGGGGCGGGGGGCATGGGGTGTGAATAAATAGGCCTATAAAACCCTCAGATCCAGAGTATAATCTTTTAAACTAATCTGCTTCGTTATTTGAAAAGCAGCTGAAGGCCAGAGGCTCCCAGGAAACCTCCGAGTTCTGATTTGGGGCATACTCAGAAACATCTCTTAATCACATCCCAGCAGCTACATCCCCACCCCTCTCCTGAGTCCCATCAGGATCTACACAATGCTTCCTTTCAGGTGCCTTCTTTTTGGAGGCCAGTCCCAGAGGCAAGCTCAAAGTACACATCCTGGATTTAAGATGTTGTCTCTGAACAAGAGCATGCAAACGTTTTTTGGTTATTCTTTCTAGAGAAGATTACTGAGATGACAAATCAATAGCTGTTGAGCTGTTTCAGAGGAAATAAATGGCAACTGTTTGACAACAGGACCTTACCCAGGCTTTCATTAAATTGTATGTCAGGGCTTTAAAACAGTAATACAAGTAATCTACGGAGGAGGGACCTTTTTTAGTGTCTGGAAACAACTGTGGACTAACAAAATTTATGAGTAGGAGAGGATCCATTTCATGTGAGACAGGAAGTCCAAACATACTTACATATTTGAGGAAAAGGTGCAATTCTTTGTGGTCTTTGGGATTGATCGTTGCTTCAAACAAAGGTACAAATATGTTCTCCAACATCTTCCCAAAACTAGGCAGAATATTTTTTGACCTGAATATGTCACTGAAGGGGAAGAAAATATACACAGTTGCGACCATTCTTTACTCATCTTATATTTTTCCACCACTTTCATATTTTCTGTTATTTGTGTATATCCTACAGCTTCAGTTCTACCATGATTCTGAAATTCAAAGTTTATGTCAGGGCAGGGATTATCTCTGTACTCTGTTTCCTGTGATGCCGGGCACTCTGCTTCCTCCAGGCTGTGGAGCACCCGAGTGCTCCAAAAATAGAGACAGTATGCAAGGGTAGATGCTGTCACAAGAACAGTGACCCTTTCCCTTACAGCAATACAAGTACTAATAGGGGAGATAAAGAATTACTTCTCATGAAGGATTCTGTTTTCCAAAGTTGTAACTACTCCCAATGTTCTGCTTTAGTGAGCCTCTCAGAAAAGAGGGACCATACTTCAGTGTGTCATTAAGTGCATGACTTAATGGAAGTGTTGACTCTGCTATATATGTAAGAAATTGCCATGAAAGAAATTAAAGGAAACTTCCTCCCTAATGAGAAACACACTCTGGGGGATATATGCAACCATGACAGCTCTTTCTCTACTTATATTCCAACTATACAATTTCAAAACATGAAGCTCAGCTATTAAGGCTGACAAAATTATCACTGTCTTCTACCCCCAGACTGCCAAGAGAACTGAAGCAGTGGTCAAGAATAAATTTCCCAGGCTGTTGCTTAGAAACAGAACTACAGGACAGGTCATAAACCATCCAAAAAATATCAGAAATTAAAACAAATCACTGGTATGATTTGTTTTAAACTATTTTAAACTATTAAAATTACCTATTAAAACTACTAAAATTTTAAACTATTAAAATTACTAAGAGCTCCTGATTACTTACTAGATTCTGGGAACCTGAATTATCCAGCGCATATTAGGGGAATAAACTTTATGCTTAATGAACCATTTTGCCAAGTTCAGCCATTCATCTGGAGACCGTCCATAAATGGATAAGCGGGGTTCTGTATACTGGTACTTACTTTCTTCTAGTTCACGGGCTACTTCCTGTTAAGTAATAAATATATTTGCTTTAATATGGACACTGAAGATCATTTACAGCTAGAAGTATATTTATTATTGTATTTTCCTCAGACCAGACATAACTGTATTGTCACCCTTTAAAGATAAAGGGAATCTCTTGTCTATTAATCTATTATTTTATTTTAGGCATCTAAGTATTCTACTAGCAAGGTATCTCAGATATCATTTGAGTATAACTAACTCTAACACCTGGATTTGGAGAACAATATTCTTGTGCAGTTATTACTAACACCCAAGACATATGTTTAAAATTGGGAACTCAGAATTATGCTATTTAAACTGTAGTAAATGACTACATAAAATATGCAGACCAATGGAGAATCTGACCCAGAATCTGTGGTAGTAAGCAATTTTAAGGCTATTAACTTTAAACCAGCACTTCTATACATCTACGAAGAGCTGACATCTAGTTCATGAAAACTACTAATTCTTTTGTTGTAAGAAGTTAATTTGAAACCTGTGCATGCATGTGCAGATACAGATTTATAAAGAGGTGCTTTCCTAGCTCTTTCTTCCCTAGCAGCTACCGCTAGCCAGCTGCATCCCAACATTTAATATTAAGCCAACTCTGCTTTGAACTCGTGCACAGGTTATGTTTATGAGTTCCTAACTCATAAAATTATCTAGAAAACAGTAATGGCTGAATTAGCAGAGGCCTTTCTCTGATGTATTGCTACAGCAAGTCCAATACTTGGAATCACTTAACCATAGTGTTAGCTCTAGATACAATGATGACATCACAAATATTTTACAAACCTTCATTTCTCTACAGCTGGAAAAGCTTGAAACTTATTTACCTTGACCATACGAGCAAAATATTCACCACCAATGTAGTTCTCAGTTTTCAAATACAAGTCCCTCAGCTCACTGGCACCAACTGGATTGTACTTGGAATTGAATTTGTCAAATCGATGAAATGTTTGACGACCCTGGAGGAGGAAAAAACACAAATAACCATGCTTTTAAGTATGCACAATAGTTTATAAATTAAATTGCCTAGCAGTAAAAGCCACAGGAAAAAAAAAAAGCCTATGCTAACTTACTTCAAACATGCAAAGTAATGCATGAGTTCAAATTGTGAGTTAATAAGTTATCATGCAAAACCTGTAGAAACTAGAATTTCACAGTTAGAAAACGTAGCTTTTTCCAATTTATTTTGTCATTTTAATAGACTTACTGCATGGACATCTAAAGAGTCTACAGTGAGGTCATAAGGGTCCATGTGAAGGCTTTCAAAGACTTGCTTTAAAGTCATCTTCTTGCCTTTTTTCTCTGTAACAATCCTGTCGGGCTCTGTTTGATACGTGTGCTTAATAAACCTCAATAAGTGTTTCTGGTTCATGCAAGCAGCAGCATGGATATGAGTATCCACCTGAAATCAAAAGATTATTCATGCTCATTATCCATATACATAAACTTAAATTAGCAAAGTGTCTATATCAGTGACAGCAATAACTAAAGCCTTCTAAAATATTCCTTAAGGAACAAATGGATTAGTGCCTAAGCAAATCAAAATGTTTCAGAACCCTGAGATTTTAGGTTTGGAGGAATTATTCAATAAGCAGAACTATAAATAAAAGAGCCCTCAATTACAGTTTCCTATTTAAATAAGAAAATTTTCAACAAGTTAAGATACATTTTAAGTGCCAATCACAGAATCTGGGTTCAGATTAAATTTGATACTTCCTTAAAAGACACTCTGATCCTTTTATTTCATCCATGAATTGACGATGTCTTTCTAGTTCCAGACTAGTAATAACCATCCTCTCTGACTGAAAGGACCTCAATTCATTTTTGTATTTCAACTACATGAAACATCTTAGGTCACTAGAACTGCAAAAGTACATGTGAGAGATTTTGTCACTGTTTTATCAAAGTTTAATTATAATACGGCAACTCATAATGCTGACAGAATTTTCAGTTTCTTCAGATCTCTTCACACACTAAGGGAAGTGCAAGCTTTGCAGAATGGCTGAGAGTACTCCTTCAGTTTTTTGTTGAAGTGCCATTTAAAAAAAATAATTACAAGAACCAAACAGTTTTCACAGGTATGCTTTTGTTTTGCTCAGAAGCTGGCATTGCTATTTGAGCAGCCTATATTAGAACACAATCCAAAGAAACAACTGATGAGATCTGGGGGTTTGTTGGTTTTACAGCAGGCATGTAAAACAAATCTGTTGCAGTTCCTTGAAGTCAAGGGTTTATAATCTTACCTACACTGATAAAGAATAGAAGAAAACCAGATATATTCCCCAGCTACTTCTTGTTTGAAAAGGCAGGTGATACTAATTACAGTTTCTAAGGACCAAGTACCTGAAAGGGAAGAATAGGCCTTAGCTAGGATAATGGCATTAAGGAATCCAACCGTACAGCAGTATCCAGTGTGTTGAGCAGCAGAGCTGCTGCTCCAGGGTCCATTTGCTTTGAATTTCCTTGAGAAATTCTGACTGGCCAACAAAACAGCCTAGTGCATGTCTTAGGCAAAACCATGAAATTACCACCAAATTCCTATCAATGTAAAACCAAACCAAACCACTGTTCTGGTTAGATTTCACAGTTGACACATAATGAACACAATATGCCCTGGGGACAGCTTGACAGATTCTGAAATTTCCTTCAAGTCCAGACTGCCAGATCCTAGCAGAAGCAGGTTCAGTTTCCCATCTTCCTCCAGTCTAGGCCCTACCTGGACACAGATGGCTGTGAGCACAGGAATGTGGTCAGACGCAATCACCAACTTGCACTATTTCTAACATCTGCCTTGTGCACCATCTGCCTTGTACTGGAGTCAAGTCTTACAAGACCAACTGGCAGAATGGTTCTGCAGAAGGAGTAGGAAGCAAAATAGTCCATTTGCAATACGAGCTTCGAGATTATATATAACGGGGACAGGATGGTTGAGATAATAAGTCTAAAAAGCACCACACAGTACTGTCCAATATATTGGTAGGAGATGGTTTGGGATCATTATAAGTAACACTTTACCATGCAGTCTTATGTGAAACTGTAGTGGAGAGGGCTGTTCTAACTCTTCTTACAGAGTAAGAAAGGAGCTTCAAAGCAGAAATAAAAAATAATCTTGCTTCTGCACAGCACTGGTAATGCAGCTGTCAGAATGCATCTCGTTTTGCTGTCTACACTTAAGGCTTTAAAAAACCAAAATACTGACAACATTGCCAAGAAATGTCACAAAAGGAAATAAGAGCTGGAAAACTCACACTGCCACATGACTGTAAAAATGAAAATAATTTGGCTTTCCAGGTGCAATTTGAGAGTTAATTTGATCAGCTGTATACAGGTATTTGTACATTCAAAAGTGACCAAGAGGCAGAGAGGGGGCTTTTCCGTCTCACAAGCAATGATGTAACAAGATCTGAAGGTTGGATGCTGACATTAGATACAAGTTCCTAAAGACACTTAGTACATTGGGACAGTTTGAACCCACTGCACTGTGCTTTTTTAAAATGCAACTAACTAGCATTCCCAGGCAGGAAACTGCAAACATGGACACCTACAATGGGTGAGTTCCCTGTTGTGTAGGGACTATGTCTGCAGCTTTCAGATTACATCAACAGTTGACATCCTGATCTGCTTTTAAGGTTCAGTAGGAAACTGGAGCACCTGCATCAGTAACAGCCATACTCCTACAACGTAAACTCAGCTTATGCGATGACATACAATCCACAGAAATGCCACTGTTTTACTCAGCACATGTACTCATTTAATTTGCAGTTTATACACACAAAAGTTGTTGCCACCTTCTAAGGGTAAATCGATCTCCATGTGAATGCTAATAGCATAACTAAAGACCAGGACACAAACAGAATCCTAAACATTAACATCTAATTGTTAATCATGGCCTAGTTCAAATAGGCTAGACACTTTAAAGCTAAATGAAAAAGCAGGCATTACTGGCTCAAAGTACACAACATGAAGTACATTACTAATGCACAGTAAACAATGCTATGTCTAAAATAGTAAAAACAGCTCCGCTTAACATATTATTACAGTCCTCAGAGTACTTGTGTAGACATTTGAACTCAAGTGCATTATATATATGCTTACTCAGGTTAAACAACTCTGGTTTATAAACAAATACTGTTTACTATAAACTCTTCCTGGACCAGTGAAATACTACAAACTACTAGGCTTGGTCAACTGACATGGGAGAGTGAAATAACAGTTAATGGATGTCCTATAAGCTCTAAACATTCAGGAAAAGCAGATCATAACCATAGAATACCAGGTGTAG